AAAAAATACCGTGCAGTGCAGAGTATGGAGGGTGTGCATTTACCACTAAGTCCCAAGGTCGGGACTGAGACATAGCGTGCATTTATGGAGGGTGTGCATTTATGGAGGGTGCACTTATGGAGGTCTGACTGTAGTTTTTTTTTTCTTGAGATCCTTCGATTAATTTAAAACGTGATCATGCATGATTTCTTTATCGGCACCCACTGAATAAAGTCCGATTAATCGAATGTAGAGATTCATTGACGACTGAATCAATTGTTGAAAATATTCAACGATCGGTTAATCGGCAATTAATCGTTGAATAATAATAATACAAGATTTATTAATCCATACTAGGAATATCTCTTTATTTTTAATTAGATGTTGGCACCGCGCAAAAATTCTTTAACTGGTTAACTTACTTTATTAATCGGTTAATTTAATCGAGTGAAATTTTTTAACTAGCAAATTCATGGTAATTAATATATGCACTATCAAAAATCAGTCCTATTTTTCCTTCGTATTCCATAATAATAATTATAACAACAAATTTGAGTGTTCAAATAAAACGAATAAAACAAATAACTTGAATAAAATAAATAACGAACAAAACGAACAATAAATATATAATAATAACGAATAAATTCGAATTAAGATTAAATTGAGTTGTATTACGAATAGAAACTCTAGTAATAAGTCTCGTCCAAAAGAAAAAGTGAAGATTGATGTTTTGGTATTTGTATTTATTTCTATATGTATTCCAGTTAGACAAACAACAATAAAATTTTGTAACGACAAGACTGATGGGTTAAACGGTTAAACAGTGCCAACCTCTGTCTGCAATCTTTAATGCTGAATAATAAAATAAAAAAATGGTCTAAAAGCTTTTTTTTTGTGCATATTAATATCAATATACGGATAACCGGACGAATATTGCTATATTACTATTACTATTTCTATAATAATAACGGCTGAGAACCTAATATTTATACGTCACGTATATAAATAAACTATTAGCATTTTTCTAAGCCACAATAAACCAAGAGCGATTGTTTGAATAAAGAGAGTTTTTCAACACACGTTTGCCAGGTATATCTCTTAAGGAAATAGCCCGTTATAGAGTGAGTGAACTGTATTAGTATACAGCGGTAATACAATCATTTATTTTTTAATTTGCTAGTCGACGAGTTTCATAAGACATTGGGGTGTTCCACATTATATGATTTAGAAACATAGTCGCTCCATAGTGTTTCCGTTATTAATCACCTTTTCTGAATATCTGAAATACATCAGACGACTTTGATAATTGAACGTTCCGAATAACCATAAATGTACTGAATAATTAAAATTATTTAAATAATCATAAATGTACTGTAGATATTGTAGATAATATTTAATTGACGAAATTTGATCGATATATAGCCATCAAGGTCCTCCAATGAAGCTATCCTTAGTCTATATACCTCTATTTATTTCAATTCTTCTTTTTTTTATCAGGTTTCCAGAGTTTGAACTACGCATAAATCAGAAGGAATATCGGCCGAATTATCATAACCATCATCAATTATTATTATTGTAGTTGTCATTCGTCAAGAAAGATTTCAAATTAAAGAAACATGATACAATATATTCGCGTGAATAATTTCAATATTTAATATTTATGGCTCTATTTATGATTATGGTTATTCGCACCACATACAAAAGGATAAACAAACCTTTTGGTTTCAAATAATAATATTTCGAATAGTCATAGTAATAATATTTCGAATGTTCAAATGCCACCTCTACATCGAATCGTGCCATCAATAAATATAACATGCTGCTGCTTAAGCATTTTTTATTTGTTTTCTTCAATATAATCAATATAAAAATAATTGACATGACAAATCCAAAAGTATAAATTCAAATAAGTGTCTAAATTTTTTGGCTAATTGCTTTTTTTATAAACTGAATTATTATTTTTTTTTAAGGTTGTTTTCAATAAAAAAGATCAGCATACTTTACACGGTTCACCTCTTTCTCATTTGATTCATTTATTCATGAGATCCCTGACATGTAAGTAAGGGTGTTTGCTTTTTTAATTTTCTAGTTGTTATCGAAAATGTAACACGAAGATATTAATTAATTATGTGAAAAAATTTTTTCCCGATCTCATGATTATTGTATGATATTGTTTGTATATTAATATTAATTTTAATTAGTTAATAACCATACGAAGAAAAAATAATACCGATTTTTTTAAAAATTATTTCTTTTTCTTAAATAATAAAAATGTCTGAATTCACACTTGAAGAACTTGCAAAACATAAAACTAAAGATTCTTTATATGTTTCAATTGGTGGAAAAGTTTATGACGTTACAAATTTTATTGACGAGGTAACAAATATATAACAAATATGCATTATATAAATAAATAAATAAGTGTGTGCATGTTAAAATATTTGTAATTGTTATTAGCATCCAGGTGGAGAAGAAGTCTTACTTGATGAAGGAGGTAAAGATGCAACTGAAGCTTTTGAAGATGTTGGTCATTCGGATGAAGCTCGAGAACTTTTAAAAGGGTTTGAAATTGGCGTATTAAATGTAAGTAATAAATTATAATTACTTGCTGTGATTGATTTAACAATGTAAAAATTAATACATTATTAATATTCTGATATTAACATTTCTAAAAACATTTAAAAAGGGTCAACCACCACCATCAACTCCAAAAACAACTCCATCTTATCCAAATGCACCCAAATTAGAACCAACAAGGTTTGAAAATAATCCAACAAAATTAGTATTTAAATTTATTTTTTTTCAAAAAAAACTAATTCTAATTTCCTTTTGCTCAATGTTTTTGTAGTTATGCCAGTTATTTGTTACCATTTTTAGCAGTCACAATTTATGTGATTTATAAATATATGACTATATCAACTGATTCACCAAATTCGTCAAAATAAATAATAACAATAATAATAATAATAATACAATAATTAATAGATATTTATTTTTTTTTTTTGAATTAAATTAAAAAATAAAAACAAATATATTTGTCTATCTATAAAGGAGTCTACAGTATTGATAATATTGTTTCATTCTATTTTGGTGGATACTTAATATCATATTTATTAATTAATTCAAGCCACCTATATAATCATAATAATTTTATTATTGTTATGGAAGAGAATCAAAAAAATTCATTTAATTGAAAAATTAAATCATGCACATACCTTGGAGCGCAACTATAACTATGGAAATCTATTTTATTTTTTTAGTAGAAAAGCTTTATTAATAATCATTCATTTCATTCACTAACCCATTCATTCATTAGAATTTCTCCGAAAAAAAAAAACAATTTATTTGCTTACCAAAAGAATCGTAAGGATCACAACTACATTTAGCAAGTAATCCTTGTTCAGTTGGACAATGGGTAAATGGTTCTTGCTTATAGCCGATATCATTAAAGAAATGTATTTCATTTTTATTTAAAAATAAAGCTGCTGCCAATGAATGAATTGGTGCTTCTGACCATCTATAAAGTGTCCACATATATATATATTTAATAAGTAATATCAATATTATTACTACTAGCGTTGATTGCATAATGACTAACCTCTCATAAAAAAATCCACCTTTTTCATCAAGAAATTCAAAGAATTTAGTGTATGCTTCACTTCTGAATAATTTTAGATCAACTATTTCAAAATTTGTCCAGAAATGGCATCTTTAAAATATTAAAATAAATATTAAATAAAACATTTTTATCTCGCCAACAGTTTTAAGATAAATTGATTTTTTGTTGCATACAAATTATAAGTTTCACCATTATCATTTGAAAAAAATTCCATCCAATTATCGTCTTTAACATATTCAGGATTTAAGGTCATGAATTCTTTCACGCTATTCCAAAGTGTTGGAACTGTTTCTTTATATTCATACAAAGAAATGGTAAATCCTAAAAATTTACAATAAATTAATTAAAATTAATCAACTGGTTTAGTAATAACTTCTTCTTCTTCTCCTCCTTCTTAATTACTTGCCATATTTTATATTATTATCTTGCAAATATAAAAATGGATCATAATCTAAATCACAATAGTAACTAGCACCAGCTTCAACACGCCAATAGTAATCGTACTTTTTTAATAAGTCGTGATTTTGAAAGAATCCAGATAAAAATCTGTAAAACAAAAATAAAATAATTATTAGTATCATTAGAATTCCCGCTGAATTTTCCTAATCAAAAAAAACCTCATCTATAATTAATAACCTGTTCGAGTATCGATATGTCAAACTTCCACCTAATAGTACATCCTTTCCTTCCAACTCTTTCCTTTTTTCATCAAACAATTCCAAATCAATATTGGATGGTGTTCCCCACTGTTCCTCAGGAATTGTTCCTAATAATATCAATAAAATCATTGATCAACCAATAATACTATTATACTAAATATAATCGCTCAAGTATAAATATTCAAATCACAAACCATATTCACACTTTGCTTTAGTTAGTCCACTTATATAATTTTTAAAATCATCTGATATCTCCTTGTCACTTAAAAATACATAAGGATATTGATATTTATGATTAAATCTATTTTCAAGCTGTGCCAATGTAGTTCCCATTCTTTTAGTATTTTCATGTCCTAAATAAACAAGAAAAACAGCCTTTGCTTTACGCATTATAGGTTGTTCTTTTGGTTGTTGTGTAGTAGTAATAATGGTAGTTTGTGGAATTTCAACGTCTAAAGTCACTGTTTCAACTAACATTGAAGTTTTAGTAATGGTGGTAGTTTTTGATTTAACAACATCTTTATATGAAATTGGTTGATCTTTTACAATATCACTATAATTGTTGTTGTCGTTGGATCTCCAGGGTATTGTAAAATCTAAACTTTTCTCAAAATAAGAAAGAATCAAGTGTATACTAATTATAGTCACTAAAAATATTATCAAGTATTTTAAGTAAATGTTTTTAAACATTATTGCTTATTTTTATTTGTAAAGTGAAGAGATATATATTTTGAAAATCAAAAAAATCAAAATGTTACATTTTATTATAATAAAGATGCAGTGTCACCCAAGTTCAATATTTAATTCGTGATCCGTCAATGATTACTTGTAATAAATAATGAAGCGCTGCCCAAAGATAAAAGCAAAAACAAATAACAAAAGTTTGTTACATTATGAAGATTGTGAATATTTGTGAATTTTTACCAATTTAGGATAAAGTCTATAAAAGGTTTTACTTGTGCATTATACAATTGTGAAAAAATTTATTAGTAAATTTCCCCCAGAAATCAAGTATCTGGCGAACCACGAATTAAATGAATTGATTGATATATTATTCAACACGGTCTCAATTCCCATTAGAAGATTTTTTTTTTAAAATAATAATAACGACGAACATTTTAATGATTGACATTATTTCATTGGCTCGTTGTTCATTTTCGAGAATGCATAACCAAATATTTCAGAGCTAGTTTACAAATAAAATAATCATCGATTTAATTTTTAATCTAAAAAAATTTTAAATCATCATGATGATGAATTTGGTTTCAATCGTTTTTTACAAGCATGCAATGAAATACTTATGAAAACCATGATGACTATATAAATGAAAATATAGCTGAAACTCTACGATTAATATGTGAATTCGGGTTATTTAAACAAATAGTAATTATGTCGAATATTTATCATTCATTACACATCAAGAATCAATGAGAAAAAGGTCATTTTAATTTTTCTCCCGCCATATAGTTAATTTGAACTTTTATATCATGGTAGAAATGGTTTCGAAAATGTGATGGTTTAAATAAACTGCAAGATAGAATCCAATTTGATCTGCTCAATTATTTCCAAAGATAAAAAAAAAAGGTATTTATTCATTTCATACATCATTAATCTAATTCATACATTGGTTAATTGTTCATTCATACATCAATATATTTATTTGTTCATTCATAAATTCAATTTGTTTATAGAAAGCAAATTCTAGATTATAATCCGAACTTTAATGCATACTCAAACATTGATAAAAAGTCGTTATTTTCAAAAATTGCACACCATCAATTCTGTTAATATTATCACAACCGCGTGCTCGATTCTTGTGGTTACGCAAAAAATTTGTCAAGTAGTCATTTCCCATTGGCGCGCAAAACATTATGCTGCAAGAACTGCAAGTAGATTAATTTATTTATTAATACAATTGATACATGTGTTGAATTTCTGCAGATTTCAGAATGATGACATTTAACGTTGCATGATTGATTTGCCTTACGATTTCAAAGAACATAAAATTAGCAATATAACTGATGATCCATCAAAATTAAAAAGTACAAAAGACTGAAGTTGAGAATTTTGGCTGATCAAAAGAAGAATCAAAGACTCTATATGTTCGCCTTCAAAAAGATGGGACAAAATATATTTATGGCAAGATCTTCGTTCGAAATTAACCAATCAACCAATCATTGTATAGATCAAAATAGATCAAATTTGAAAAAATAATCAAAAAAAATGTTGAATGAAGAAGTATTGTTATCGACATCTTTAGAAGATTCGGCTACAAACATTATAGATTTTCGTAATGGAAACATTATATCAACATTTAAACAGAACAAATGTGAGAGGAATTGTTTAAGTCTGGTTTCATTGACGGGACAACCAAATAGAATTGGTTTGATATTATCAGCTCAGAATGATAAAGCTTTGATACATGTTTATTCTTTATTTAAGGTATGTGTGAGAGAGATTGGTCTATTAATTAATTAATTATAAATTATATTATAAACATTCTAATTTGATGGCGAATAGGAACAAATACATAATAAATTATTTTGTCCGGAGAAATTAGTAAGTTTAAGTGTTTCTAATAAGGGTACTTATTGTGCTGGTGGTACTGATAACGGGAAAATATACATTTGGGAGGTAAAAACCCTTCATTCTTATCGTATTCTTACCAACTAATTCACTTCTCATTGATCAATGGATTGATTTAAAAAAAATTTATTGCTTTTTTTAGCTATCAACTGGCACATTGTGTAAAGTATTTGATGCGCATTATAAGAAAATCAATGTAATGAGATTCACTAATGATGATATTGCATTGATAACTGGAAGCGATGATTCAAGTGTTAATGTTTGGTTATTTAGCAGGTAAATTATAAAAAGCCTATAATATTATTATTTATAATTTAATAATAATGATGATGATTTATTTTAATTATTCACTTTTCGCGCAAAGCATTTTAGACACTGATGATGATGATAATAATAATAATGATTTATTAATCCCTTATTATTCTTGGTCAGATCATTCATTGCCAATAACTGATATTATATGTGGTGTTGGTAATTTTAATACTTGTAGAATATTAACATCTTCAATGGACAATACTTGCAAAGTAATAATAAAATAATAAAATATTTATTTAATGATATTTTTATAATATATTTATAATACACATCTATTATTTTAGATATGGGATTTATCAACTGGATATTTATTAACAACATTTATATTTCCAAGCATAATCAATTGCATCGAATTTGACAAAATAGAAAGAATGTTTTTTTGTGGATGTAATAATAAATTGATTTATCAGGTTAATTTGTATAAAAATATCGGTAATAGTAGTAATGGTGGTGGGATAATAAGATCAGTTGGTGGAAATAAAAAAATTGAAGATGTTGATACTAGCAAATCATTAATATTTAGTGGTCACAAGTAAGTCATAGCAATAAAAAATAAAAAAATAATGGCATTAATATTATTTGTTAAAAAATTTAAAATTTTCTAGTTCACAAATTACATCAATAGAAATGCCATTATTCAATGATAATATATTAATATCAGGATCAGAAGATGGAGAAATAATAGTTTGGGATATTTTTAGTAAGCAAATGATTAGAAAGTTCAGCCATCACAAGAGCATAATAACAAATCTAAAAATACTCATTAAACCAACTAGTATCAATAATAATAGTGGTAGTGGCAGTAGTAGTAATATGAGTAATATTATTAACAATGTTAAACCAGTTCAACAATTTAAAAAGTCAAAAGTAATTGATCAAGAAGAATTTGCTAATACGATTTTATGTGATATTAGAAAGGTACATTTGATTAGAGAAACTAATTTGGCTTTAGAAATTATCAATAATTAAATTAATTAAATTAATTGTGTAAACATTTAGGATGTAAGTGACTATAATAATAAATGTGATGGTGAAGGTAATTATTTCAATCTTGTCATTACCATTATTTGACTTGATAGCGAATATATTATTATAACATTTACATTTATTAATTATCTCAGAAATAATATCACAAGAATTTAAAAATTTGAAGAATGCGAAATATATTCTAAGTCAATCCAAGGTAACAATAAATAAATATGCATAATACATAACACGCAGATATATTTAGCAATATTAAATTTATTTTCTTTAATTTCAGATTAATAATGAAACTTTAGATTTAGAAAAAAAGATTTCCTCATTACAATTAGAATTACAGTCTACACAAGATAATTATCAACATTTAAAAAAATTGAACAATGACATTTATCAAGAATTAGTTACTGATTTTATTAAAAATCATAATAATAGTTAAAATAATTTTTTCGTGTTTTTATTTTTATACTTATTATAGAAACGATAAAATATGTCACGTATGAATAATATTTGTTTATGCATTATTGGTTTTTTTGTTTTGTTTCTTTTATTTCTCCTAAATATTTCTTTCTTTGCATAATCATATGAATATACATAACATAAAATCCTACAAAATATTTTATTAATAATTATTTTTCAAAAAAAAAAAAAAGAATTGAATTCAATCTTACCAGGTAGATAAGCACATAAAATTCCTACTTGAAGCCAATAGAATGCTCTATGTATTGAATACGGAATAGATTTAAAAATAAGTACTGCTTCACTTCCTGCTCCAACTGGATATAATAAATAGAAAAATGTATATCTACAAAAATAATAAATTAATTGACAGTCATTTAATATATTTGTTAAAAATTAATCATTCAAGTTTTATTTATTTACCTGCACCATAACAATAGATCTGGTTGCTTTCCGATAAGATTAAACGCATAATATAAATATCTAACAATTTCAGCAATCGACCATGCAATTGTCATACTTGTAAATGCCCAATGAGATCGAACCTAACCAACAGAAAAGAAATAATGAATACAATATTATAAGTTAAATGAATCCGTAATATCAATCAATTTATCCTTCCGACATAAAATTTATCTACTGCCCCATTAATAAATCAATCCATTAATATTTACCTCTGGAAAGAAATCTACAACGGGCCAAACGAGCCAGATTCTTGATGAAATTTGGAAAACAGTAGTAAATAATGGTGTTCTCACAAATCCTATAAAAAATAAAAGTAATTAAATTTATGTAGGATGCGAATACTATATAACCTATATATCACACACACACATATATATATCGATATATATATATATATATTGTATTTACCAAGAATGACGTGTAAAACCTTTTATCCAAAAAATATTACTAGTTAATAAACAAATCAACGCAATGCAATGGTAATAGATCAATCATAAATTTTATCATTAATAATTCACCTCCAAAACTGCAGCAGTTTGAACAAAAGCCAATATTCGTTCTATTCCGTCATAAGTTTTCGTATAATCTCCTTGATTTACATATAATTGATATAAGGCCAAATACAAAACATATGACCAACTGATCGTTGACAAAACATTATATGCAATCAAGTATCCTGTTATTAAACTATTTTTTTTTTCTGATTCTGTTTTTTTGCAAATTTTTGCAATTAATTACATTTTTTCTGGGAAGAACGAAAATCAAATTAAATAATAGACATAGATATTAATTTACCAAAGTTTTTCTTAATGGTTTTTGAATTTTCTGCTTTCACTTTTTCTTTATTCATTTCTTTATTCATTGTAAAAGAAATTTTTTTTTTCCTTAATTTTAAAATAAAATGATGATCATACTATTTTCATGTGATTCATAAAACCCAAGATCTTCTTCACCCAAACTAGTAATAGTAACAATTGACATAGAAGTTGATTTAAAAAAATGCATTCTTGTAAATTGCAAAGAAAAAGTTATTGTTGAAACCATTAATTAGTATTAAAATACTCGGATCGTTCAAATATCGATTAATATTTTAGATAATTTTATGATTGGACAATTTAGATAATCGCTAGTCTTAAACGTGCATTAATATTAATATTATTTATTCCTATATATATTATATATATTATACAACAATATAAAGTAAAAGTGTGAAAAAGTTGGCAAAATAAAATAAAATAAAATTGCTAAAAACGCGTCATTTTATTTATTTTTTAAAATTATGAGATGCGATATGTGGATTCATTATAAAATATAACATTTATTTAAACCAACTTGAGTGACTTGAATTACCTACCCATCGATGATTAATTAATACATCAACACATCATCTTTCCTTAATAATATGATCTTGTATTTTCCTGTATTGTAACGAACTATTCATCCCAGCAAGCTAGGGTTCGAGGACGTTAAAAGATTGTTTAGTCGTTAAATCATAAAACAAACTGTGGAAACGTGCATTTTCGTTGATTGTTATTCAATTCACCCAAGATTTAGATCGAATATTTCGAATATTTCAAATAATTACAAGTTGATTTTCATGGTTGATTATTTGATTATTTATTATATTGATAGATTCAAATAAACGTTTATTCGAAAACTTTTTCTGGTAAGGCTCACTCGCGTATATCTCGCGTTTTTTTTTAAAATCGTATTAATAACTTTGATACTGGTGTAAAAAATTTCTATAAATAGAAAAAATCAAATTGATCAAAAAGTAAATAATTACGTTTCGTACAATGAACACTACATAAATTTGATCTACATTTATATATCATTGAATGAAAAAGGAAAAATGGCAAAATAAAAAAAAAAAGTTTTCTGAATTTTTTTTTGGTTTTTTTATTTTCCATCAAAAGTTCACACATCATTTCACACACACACACACTATAACATTTATATATATAAAATTTAAAAAACAAACACAAATAAAATAAGCAAATAACACCAAAATATTTCTTACACGAAACAATTCAAAATTTATTTTTTACAAATTACTATTATTATTATTACGATAAATATTTTTTACAAATTTTATTTCAAAAAAAATGTTCGACCGTGAATCAACTCCAGAGAATATTCCTATAAAGCAAGTAGTGAATGAAAATACAAACGAGTTTGACTTATCTTCTTCGGAGGAAGAAACACAATTACCAGTAGCATGGTATAAAGACGAAATAGACTTTATAGTATTTGTTAGTATTATTAGTTTCATTTTCTTTGTCACTCCATTTAAATTTAATCCTTTTCTCAATCAATACAATTTCTCTTGGTCATTTTTAATATTTACACGACTTTTGTTTAAATAAATGAATAAATAAATCCAGGAATTTGATAATTTTGTAATGAGAGCAAAACCACCGTTAGCACCTTTTCCTCGTGGCAATCCACCAGAACGTTTATGTCACCGTGTCTCTAAGAAAATCAAGAAAGAACAACTTAATTGGAGGCATTCTATAAGAGAAACAAAAATAATGTTAAGGAGAGAATTGGAAAGGCTTTATAGAAAAAATAATGCCTATAATAGAAAATTTTCTCGTTCTTAAATATACGTACATATATATAATATAAATATAATCTAATGGCATCAAATTTTGAATTATTGGAAATCATATTATTAATTGGGATATTATATATTATTTATTGGAATTATATTATTAATTGGAATTATTATTATATATTATTGTAAAATTAAAAATTTTCGCAAAGAAATAAAAAAAATTAAATAATTTAAAATTTTTTGTCTCGTATTCTCAAATCACCATCACCATCGCAACTAAAGTTATATACTGCAACATAACTAGACAATGTGAACATAATGCATCAAAAATTATTACGATTCTCGATCCCTTTTTAATAATAAATAAATGACTAAAAATAGTTAATTGATTATCTGCACATATGTTTCAGCTTGATTAATTCTTGTCACGTACATCAAATCATCCATAAGAAAAATTGTTATTTCAATATATTATAAAATGTTACACATTCAAATATTTATTAAATAAATCTTTATTTGCACGTAAATCATCAACTATTTGATAATCTCGCTTTGTTTTCGATGAAAAACATCATCAATACACTCATCCTCAAATAAAAAAAACCCAAACTATAAATCTTTCAATAATCATTGTTGGACACGTTGTAAAAAGCAAACAATATTAAATAATATTTTTCATCTAATAAAATGCTTGCTTTTACCAGTGTATTTACTTGTTTTTTTTTTTGTTTAATTATAAATTTACATGTGCCATAATCTATAACCAAAAATTGATAAAATGATTAATACATCAAGTGAATTAATTATTGATCAAAAATACTTGGAGGAAATTGAAAGTTTTTTAAACACTTATTTGATAAAAGGCTGAGCTGGACCCAATTTTTCATTTAATAGATGGAAAGTATTGCTGACTCAACTATTAAAGAAAACGAATCTAGGAAGAAACGATAGAAGCAATCCATGAATGGGTTAATAAAAAGAGATCGACGACGTGATGGTGATGGTAAGGGAAAAGAAAATAAAGAAGTTGTCAATAATGGTAAAAACAATGAAAGTGTAGTGTAGATTTACAACAGAGCGGATAGGTAATACTCACCGATGGCTTTGGGTCCGTGTGTTTTTCTCCCATGCAATTGCTCTGGTAGTTTTATATTTTTAATACTTTATATATTATATATCTTTCTATTTATTAGTTGAATCACGTTGTTATTGTTTAATCCTTTTGTCTCTATTTGACATTGTTATTATTTGACAAATAGGGGGGGGGGGGAGTTAACGATAAATAAATAAATAAATAAATAAATAAATGAATGAATGAATGAATAAATAAATAAATAAATGAATGAATAAATAAATTACATCGCCCAAGTAATAATAATGTAGAAATGAAATTTTAACGGACCAATTTCGAAAGAAAAAAAAAGAAGAGTGTCATCTTAATTAATCCTTGAGAATTGAGGCGAGAGAAAATAAGATTATTATATTTGACGATGATTGCATACAATAAAGTTCCTCCTTAAAAATATTTCCTAAAAGTAGAATAAATAAATCCAACACGTTGAACCCAGGTGTCATATTAAACAACCTACTTGACCTCTGACTGAACGAAATAAATAAAATCAACCGATGGTTGCACCAATAATCTATCTATTTCTGCTCAACTCTGCTTATTTAATTTGAGAGTTAAAAGATTTATTTGTATCTTCAAGTCAAGAAACAAGAATAACATGGGAAAGTTCAACGACTCCTACCTATAAACATTTTGCTAATTTTGATAACATTCATTCAATAGGTTGAAAATCTTCAACATCAAGCAGATCATTCTTCTTCTCAATTCTGTTATATATAAGTAAACTAAAATTTTATTATTGAATTAATTTATTATCTTGCCTGCTATATAAAGACTAATTTACTTGCATATCGATGTCACAATAACAGGGAGTGGAAGCTCATTGATAAATATAAACTATGTACTTAAAAACAACTACAAGACATCATGTCATCTACCTCATCTTGATGGCCAGGCGGAATAAAGCGTTCGGGAAACCCGTAGGTGAAACTTCAACATGCTCAGTATATTTGTTATTCATAATATATATTATTACTTTAAAGAGTCAGAAAACAATTTCAAATAAAATTTAGAGCTTGATCCAACCTGAATTTTGAAAGCTGTTTTATCAATTTTCGGAAAAGGATTGATATAAAACTTTAAACCCATATAAAATCAGAACAACTAAGTCAAGGCCGAAGATTTTAAGCTTTGCATGAATTTATATACCTTTGGATTGAATAATTAGAAAGAAATGACAGAAATGACGAAAATAAAATTCATGATCACACATTATTATTATTATTATTTAGTTTTCTGGGGGTCCTTTTATACACGTTGTTATAACAAAGTTCAAAAATAACCCGATTAATTAATTAGCCTCGTGGAATGCAGAATTTGTGGAATATTATATTAATATAGTTAGTATCATTATTTTTTGGGGCAATTCAAATTTTGAGGGTAGTGTAAATTTTTTAAAATTTTATTTTTATATATATATTAACCATGGTAAGCCAAAGGTTGATCAAACAACGTGAATCTTTACCAGTAAGTATAAATAATTTTTCCAAGGATTATATTCATTAGTAATCCATTTATTTTTTAAAACCGAACAAATTAAACGAATTATTTAGTACTTGGTTTTTAGATTTATCCTTATAAACAGCAAATAATTGAAGCTATACAAAAAGAAAATTTACTAGTAATAATTGGCGAAACTGGTAACTTAATTTTTATTATTAATTTTCCTTTGCATATCATATATTTATATTATGTTAATTAAATTAATTAATATTTTTAGGATCTGGTAAAACAACACAAATTCCACAATATATTTTAGAAAGTTATCCTGATTGTAAATTGATCGGAGTAACTCAACCAAGGTCAATATATTATATTAATAATTCATTTATATATTTCTATCAATTATAATAACCCATGCTTTTAAATTTAAAAGACGTATTGCAGCCATAACTGTAGCAAACCGTGTATCAGAGGAACAGGGTTCAAAATTAGGAGAGGATGTTGGGTATTGTATAAGATTTGATGATTGTACGTCATCGAAAACTAGATTGAAATATATGACAGATGGTGTTTTATTACGTGAAGCAACTCTTGATCCAAATCTTCGACATTACGATATTATAATCATTGATGAAGGTATATGCTGCATTGATAAAATTCTATTTAATTAATCATCAAAAAAAAAACTCCCAAAACTAATCTTTCTTACTAACATTTATATATAATATATTACACACACACACACACATATATATACTTATATAAATATAGCACACGAAAGAACTATAGAAACAGATGTATTGTTTGGTTTATTAAAAACAACTCATCGTCTAAGACCAGAATTGAAAATATTGGTAATGTCAGCCACACTAAATGTTGAAAAATTTGCTGACTTCTTTGACGGTTGTTCTATTTTTATGGTACCTGGTAGAACTTATGAAGTGTCAATTATTCATCACCGTGAAACAAAAATCAGTAGTTTGAAATCTGCTTTTGTTCAACGAGCAATTGAAACTTCAATGTACATTCATACAAATGAGCCTCCAGGTGACGTATTGGTTTTCTTGACAGGACAAAATGAAATTGAAAGGGCTTGTAGAGAAATACTTGCTCAAGAACGTGATTTAAATTACAGAAAAGATGTGAAATATTATGATAAAGTCAGGGGGTTGGTGGTCTATCCCATATATGCCAATTTGGAAACATTCGAACAAAAATCGATATTTGAAGAACCACCTAGAGGCATTCGAAAAATTGTATTTTCCACTAATATTGCTCAGGTAAAGTAAAAGTTTTTTTATTTTATAAAATTGGATTTTAAATTCTAAATGATAATTACAAAATTCGAATATTAGGATATTGATTTTTATAAGTTTATTTGTATTTAATATATTTATATATTATATAGACATCAGTGACAATACCAGGTATAAGGTAATAATTACACCGTACACATGCACAGATGAAAACAAACCGTACATATGTAATTTTTAATATATATATTATCATTATCATTATTAGATATGTTATTGATAGTGGATTTGTAAAACAGAAAATGTACGAGCCGTCAACAGGTATGGATGCATTACTGGTAGTTCCTATATCACAAGCAGCAGCTACACAAAGAGCAGGTCGAGCAGGTCGAACTGCTCCCGGTAAAGCTTTCAGGTTGTATAATCGAGAATCGTATGAACAGATGATTGAGGAAACCGTACCCGAAATCCAAAGAAGTAGCTTGCTTGGTACAGTCCTCAGCCTTAAAAAAATAGGAATAAAAGACATACTAGGTTTTGAATTCATAGATCCACCTGATTCTGCACTTGTTAAAAATGCATTAAAACAATTATTTCTATTGGAAGCAATCAATGAAGACGGAAATTTGACTGAATTAGGTGAAGAGATGACAAAGTTTCCTTTGAACCCATTTTTGTCAAGAGTCTTGGTGGCTAGTGCTAAACAACTCAGGTGTAGCAAAGAAGTGGCGGTTATTGTTGCTATGCTTTCTGTCGAAGAGATTTTTGTTACGCCGAGGGATCAAGATAAACTGGAATTGGCTGATGAAATGAGAAGAGAATTTTATCATCCATCCGGTGATCATATGACATTATTAAATGTTTTTGATGCATATAGAGACAGTGGATATAGTCGTGAATGGTGCAGAGAAAAATTTATAAATTATAGATCATTATCAATGGCAAGAAATATAAGAGATCAACTTTATGATTTGATGAAGAAATCCGATCTACCAATAATATCATGTAGAATTACAGAAGATGAACGGAGGAGTGGGGATGGTGATCAACATTCTCATAAGAAAAGGCGTACCAAGCAATCATATCATCGAAAATATGATCATGAATTAATAATCGAGTCTTTCTCGTCATCATATTATATTAATCTGGCCAAAGTACATTCACACAAACCAATATTTTATCATTATATTTCATCAACAAGTTCGAATGATTCCGTTGATTCCAATTCATCATTACTTGCACTAAATATATCGCCTACATCATCATTACATCCTGATAATAAAATAGTCAGGATGGAGAATTTGGATTGGGTAATTTATCATTCTATACTGTACACAACTAAAGCTATAATGAAAATTACTAGTAGAATTAGATTCGAATGGGTGCAAAAAAGATTGGAGTTATTGAAAAAATTGGAGAAAGCAAGATTGGATGAAAGTTTACAATCAAATGAAAATAAAACCGGTGACGAGGATAATAATAAAAATGATGATGATGAAGAAGCAATTAGAATGTCTATTGAAGAAGATAATAAAATTAAAGAAAGAAATGAAGAGGTTAAAAATAAAAGACAGGAAACGATCGAGGCTGCTAGACAAAGAGCTTTACAAAGAAGGTCTTTTAATCAATTATAAATTGACAAACTACAAGGAATTCAGGTTTATCTAAAACTAATTGGATAAACACTGTCCGAAATAACAATATAATCTCTACAATATTTATTATTTTTTTTTACAAATAAAAAACAAGTCCATTGTTAAAGAAAATATACATACCAGTTTATACGGACAATTGTGATAATTACAAGTATCATTTAATGAGGCAAATATATATATGCCACACCAAATACTTTTCATCGCCTTAAACTTGAGGTCCATGTGAATTATTTTCTTCAACTTTGACTTTGCTTTCTTTGGCTAGAGAATTTCTAAATATAAACATGTTATGTATAATTAAATAATAATTATTAAAATTTTTGATCTACAATAAAAAAGATCTTCATTATTTTCATATTACAAAAAGCAAAAGTGTTTTATAATAATAATATTCGCGTCTTTTTGAAGTTCTCACAAGCTTATTTAATATCAAAAAGAACCAATATGTCATCCAAACCTAAAACTATGCCTAAAACCGATGGCGATGATTATGATGCCAAAGGAGAAACTAGCAGTATTAACAGTAATAATGTTGAAAACTCGGTAGAAACTTCAGCAGAAACGCGTCAAAATAAGAATTCAACGCTTACCGATAATATTGATAACAAAAACAAAAGAAAAGAATTCTCCAGTGAAAATAAAAAGCTTCAAGAGGAAGAAGTAAAAGTTTTGAAGAAACAAAAAAAATCTAATACTAACAATGAAGATAACACAGCAAAGGCAGCTGCTACCAATACTAATCTCAAAATGCCAGAGAATTTAAAATTTGAACCTAAACAACCTGGTACCGTTAAATTTGTATCATATAATGTTGCTGGATTGAATGCTTCTCTGAAAAAAGTAATGATTTGATGTATATATACGTATTTATATTTTATGCTCTATATATATAATTAAATTGTTTTTATTATTAAATTAGGGATTTAAAAATTATATCGAGGCAGAAGATCCTGATATTTTATGTTTGGAAGAGACTAAAGTAAGTAAAGAGGTTGATGGTGCTATTGACTATAAAAAATATCAATATTATTGGTGGGGAATTAATGAAACTAAGAAAGGGCATGGTACAGTAAATTTATTCGCATTTAATAAATAAGATTTACGACCCTTTTCGGTATATTAATCCAATGATCTATTTTATCCATTAGGTGGAATTTCAGTATTTTCGAAAATCAAACCTATTTCATCAACATTGGGATTACCAACTCATCCAAATCCAGAGATTACTAAAGGAAATATTATAACATTAGAATTTCCCGAGTTGTATTATGTTGCGTGTTATGTACCAAACGCTGGTTCAAAATTGGTCAAATTAGATGAAAGAATGGGATGGGACGCTGCGATGGAAAAATATTTAAGACAACTTGATGAAAAGAAACCAGTGATTTGGGCTGGGTGAATATATGCGTACTTTTTTATTTAAATAATATTTTATTTTTTTATTCATGATAAAAATTGATTTTTCCTATGTTATATATAGTGATTTAAATGTTTCTCATAAAGAAATTGATTTGACAAACCCTAAAAAAAATCACAAGTAAATTCTTTTTGTTATTTATTCTATTTATTTATCTTTCTCTCCTCTGATCGTTGATTTTGATTCAAAATGGTTATATATAGAACTGCCGGTTTTACACCAGAAGAAAGAGGGAATTTTGAGAAAATTTTAAATGGTGGAGGAGACAAGAAATTTGTTGATACTTGGAGACATTTTCATCCAAATGCATTAGGTTGTTATACTTACTATTCTTACAGATATCAATGTCGTTCAAAAAATATTGGTTGGAGATTGGATTATCACGTGGTTAGTGAGAGAATTTTGGATAGAGTTGTTGAAAGTGAAATTAGGTATAAATAGTGATTTGATTGATTGATTGATTGATTGTTAAATTTGATGACTATGAATTTTTTTATTGACATATCTGTTTTTTTATATAGGAGTGAGTGTTATGGAGCTAGTGATCATTTACCTATTGTTATGATTCTTCGTGGAGAATTGTGATTAATTAACATACATATAAAATAATGTTTTTGTCTTTATGGCTAATCATGAATTATTGTAATAAATTATAAAATAATAAATAAAAATAATAATTGCTATGGTTTAATAATAATAATGCAAATGGTAGTGGTAGTAATTATGAATATCTTTAATACATATTTTTCAAATATCATCATATTCGTCTTCATTTCCATTTACAACTTGAAATAAGAAAGTAGCAAAATTCATAGTTAAATGCATATAAAATCCTTGATATAAATTACCAATCCCATAATTATCTAACCAACCACGTTGTCTACGTTTGTTGCGTTTAAGTTTATTAAGCGATGGATGTGATGTGCCATCATTATCAGATACATATTTTTGACTAATTCCTTCCTCCAAGACAATTCTATAAGTAGCGTCCAACATGCCAAAATAATGAGCTTGACGTGTTTGAACAATTGTTTTAAATGGTCTACCAGGTTTACGTGTTTTAATTTGACATTGCAAACGTTTACGTATAGTTTCCAACGGTAAAGTGATTATTAGTTGTAAAGTTGATAAACCAAATTGTGCAAACCCGAATAAAATCGGCGACTCAGTTGGTGAGATATGAAATATACGTTCAATGAATAAATCTCTTGTGCACTGCAATAATGGTACAACTGTGTGGTATACTATTGAAGGTAATAAATTATGTGACCAATATAATGATGAAAATCCTTCTTCTCTAATAATTTGACTTAAACAATTAAATATTCCGTTATATTTTTTATGAGATGGCGATGATGATTGAACAATCAATCTACGGGATACAAAATTTTTTTTTGAATTATTAACAAATATTTTGATTACAATAATTTATATTTTCTAATCAATTAATTAATTACAAACAAAATTACCTGGTTCTAACTATTTCCAAAGGACTTAAAAGTACACCAACCATTAAATGACTAGCAACTTTTGTGACGACATTTGGTGTAGCATGATCCAAATAGATTAAAGGAATTGTGTCATCATATAAATCAAAGGTCTCATTTAACTTGCCTTCAAGGTTTGGTTGAAAATAAAGATATCCAATTTCATACAACCAAGTTGCAAATTGTCCTTTGTATTATCGAATGTTTATAGATATATATATATATTTGTAAGTTAAATATAACAATAATAATATAAAATAAAATAATTTTAAATCGTTAACCACCTTTCCATAAAGATGAATATCCTTCATATGGATGTTTTTTTAAAGTACTCATACTATCTCGTAAACCATTTTCTAATGGTGATATCATATAATCTGGTCTTGTGGAGTCATCATGAATATTAGTTTTGATATAACCTTGAGTATCAGAAGGTCTAAGTTTATGAAATCCTGGTGAGTTTGAATCCAATTGACGATTAGATGAATTTGAAGAATTTAAAAAATCTTCTTCATCTGATCCCTAATTAATCAATAATAATAAAAATGGTTTAAGGTAAAATAATAATAATAATAATTAAATTATAGGTAAATAAAAAAAATAAATATAAACATCTTCGTCAGAGTCCGGTGACTTATTTTCATTTTCAATTTTAACAACATCCTCGTTTGGTATATATTGAACTTGCATCAATGTTTTTGCAGTTTCGAAAGGGGTTGAAAGCGAGGTAGAAAGATATTTAAGTACACAAAATGAAAATGCATCTTTCAAGGAATTATGCGTTTCGTCATCTACGAATGAATTCTTTTGTTCTTGTTGCTGCTCCTTTGAAGATATGTTACCAAAAGGTGTATAGAAATGGTCTTCATTTTGAGGAATATATGGTCGTAAAGGGTGAATCGTTGTTGTTCGTAGCATAGTGGACATTCGTTTTATCACATGTGATAAAATCGATCGTTGATCTTTTTTTAGAATAGAAAAAAGTCGCGTGACTGCCCACAAAAACTTGTTTAACCTGAGATGTATTTTTTTAACGTGTATATTTTTCTTTCTATGTTTTCAGTATGTGTGTGAAAAATGATCAAATGATCAAGTTGCTTTTGAAGGGTTACATAGGAGCTATATTTCAAGCTTTA